GTGTGGACGAAAGTTCACATTAGTGACTGAACACCAGCCGGTAACTTCAATATTCCACCCCACCAAGAGCGTTCTTGCAACAACAGCTTCGCGCATGGTTCGCTATGCTGTATTCCTTGCCAGCTATGATTATGACATTGAGTACAAGAACACCACTAAACACTGTATCGCGGATAGACTTTCGCGAATGCCACTTCCTGAGGTCAGGGGAGAACACACTGACCCAGATGACCTCCTACACTTGTCGCAATTCGACACTCTACCAGTCACCAGTGACCAAACTCGTAAGGAAACTGCTCGCGATGTCACACTCGCAAAAGTCTACGAGTACACCATGAAGGGCTGGCCTCACTCCCATGACTCTGAACTTAATCCATTCCATGCACGCAGACATGCACTCTCTGTGCACAATGGATGTATCATGTGGGGACTACGTGTTGTAGTGCCAGCCAAGCTCCACGACAAAGTACTCCACGAGCTCCATGAAGGTCACTTGGGGGTTGTGAAAATGAAAACCCTCGCTCATGGCTACACTTGGTGGCCTGGCATTGACAGTAACATTGAACGGCTTGCCAATGGTTATTCTGGATGCCAGTTAGTCCAACACAATCCCAAATCAGCACCACTTCACACTTGGGAATGGCCCATGTCTCCATGGCACCGTATCCACACTGACTATGCTGGACCATTTCTTGGTCAAATGTTCCTGATCGTAGTGGATGCGCACTCCAAATGGCCAGAAGTGGTAGGCACCAAATCATCCGATTCATCGCACACCATCGATATTCTCCGAGCCATCTTCGCGAGAAATGGAGTGCCAGAGCAACTCGTGAGCGACAACGCGCCTCAGTTTACATCTGACGAGTTTCAAATGTTCCTCAAGCGCAATGGTGTGAAACACATCACATCTGCCTCGTACCATCCGGCAACAAATGGCCTAGCTGAACGTTTCGTGCAGACCTTCAAACAGGCAATGAAATCCATGACGGGTGAGAAAGAAAGCACATCTGCTAAACTGGCTAATTTCCTGTTAGCATACAGGAATGCTCCTCACTCCACGACTGGACAGTCCCCAGCTACACTGTTCATGGGACGCAATCTTCGTTCGCGATTGGACATTCTGAAACCCAACATTCGCAACCATGTCAGCAGTAAGCAGGTGGACCAGGCAACATCACACAATGCTGCCAATGTGACCCGAGAGTTTCACATTGACCAGACAGTCTCTGTTCGCGACTACCGTGGTAAGCAGAAGTGGATTCCAGGGATCATACATGCACGATCTGGTCCGCTGTCATACCAAGTTTGCGTTGGACCAAACATGATTTGGCGCAGACATGTTGACCAACTTATCGACTCCGACACTGGAAAACCACCGGATCTGAACAAGACACCGGATGTAGTTCCAGAGATACCTCTACCAGACCCAGTCGTTCCTGCATCACCATCTGCACATGCGAAGCCTGAAT